TGGAAGGTAGGGCTCCATTTCATCGTAAATCTGCGTTCTTGCCATTTGATCACTAATATTGCTTTCCAAAGCAATAGTTATGGCCTTTTTTTCGAATTCTTCACTATAGTAATACCAACGTAACTTTTCTTTCCGACCAGTTTTTTCGGCCTTATCAATTAAGTGAGCTAAATGAGGTATAGAACCTGGAGCTAGATCAGAATTGACTAGAATTTGTTTACTAGATGCAGTAGAATTCGGTAAGGATTTATGGCTTCTAATGAATTCAAGTAATTCACATACTAAACCTTTTTCTACCTTTTGTTTATAGGGAACTTTCCCCTCCTTACTATATTCAAAGCCGGGCGAAGCAACACATGATTCGGATGATGGACTGTCAAGATAAACATCTTGTCCATCTTTTTCGTTCAAGGGAATGACAGAATTCTGAGAATCGATACCAGAGATATCAGCTATGAATGGTTCTGAATCCAAATTCTTCTCCCGGGAATCACCTTCTCGAAGCTTTTTCTCCCGCTTCATTTGTCTTATTTCCTCACTAATTCTTTTCTTACGTTCTTCATCCAAGAAAGCGCCCATCTTTCTGTCCTCTAACGACCCCCCTTGATCTGGTAGCAAAACTACCTCTTCGATCTGTGGGGTGAGAGTCAAACCATTCTGATTGCACAGCCCTGGATCTCGCATCTCTGATAAATTTAACTGACTATGAACTTCGTGAATAGGTAGGGGCTTATACTGTTTGGGCTGAGCTATAACTGAGTCAGATACGTTGACAGATTCTTCGAGAATAGAATCATCTATTACCTCTTCTATTGACTTGGTATTGACATCATTTTGCTGGTCTATTACGGAGTCAGATTCATCAACAGCTGATATGGGGTGAGTGCTGGGAAAAAGGACCAAATCGACAAAAAAATTTTTTTTGAAATAACAAATGATCTGAATCAGATGACCAAATCTACATCTATTTTACTTAGGAACTTTTTTTTTAAAAAAAAGTCAATTTGGTCTATTTTCCCAGCACTCACCCCATATTTCTGCTATCGTTTCCCTATCGTTCTGTGACTGCCCAATCACTACCGAGAATCCCTGTTCCAACGTCAAGAATCTGGCCTCAAGTTCCGTATTTTTTAGTTCTAATTCCTTGACTCTAGCATCACGCTTAGCATTCTCATCCATAACCTGCTTTAGAAGCTTGACATTCCTAGCCTCAATCTCAGCTTTCTCAGCCTTAAGCTTGGCGTTTTTAGTCTCAAGCTCGCTAATGTGTTGTCTTAATAATTCAAGCTCTGATGACATGATATATAAAACTATACATTGTACATAAGCATTCAAAATAAAAAAAAATCACGTGAGCGTGAAGATTCTTCATGCCGATCACTTTTGCCAAGAAAATTTTATTATTGCCTGGGATATATACCATACATGAATATATATTTGCGAAATCGACCACCAGGGTCACTTTATTGATACAGAAAAAATAATAATACATGATGCTCAGGATATATTCTAAAAATAAATCTAATTATTCTTGATCAGAAGATACTGTAGAGCTTTTTCGCTTAAGTCGTTCTGAT